TGATACATGGCGCGAATCTTAGTTTTAAAGACCGCCCATGATGGAAACGCACCAGCATTTGCCATCAGCGCAGAGTATTTCCACTCTGACGCTTTGCCACGCAAGTTGGACATGGCATACGACACCATTCTGGTGTCATCTTCGATGAGCTGCGTCACTCCACATTGCTCAACTACTAATAGCCAGTGAACAATCGTGTGAGGGCTAGTTCCATCGAACTTCGGAGGGTCCATCCGAATGGGCCTCGGTTGATCAGGTTGGCATAGCATTTGGGGCAGGGAATTGATGAACAAGCCCTGGTCAACCTCTTGCATTGTCCTCCTGAGCAGCATGTTGCTCAGTTGAAGCAATTTGAGACGTTTGTGCTCGGAAGCGTAGAAACGCGTGCGAGGTAAACAGCCAAGTCACCGCTGAGTCCATCACTAAAACTCAGGATGAGCTTCGGCTTGAGCAGGCACGTAACTCCCTATGATGTTGGAAGAGGTGAGGAAACTCATTCCAGTCCATATTGAGGGACATCCGTATCCACACGCACGCTCAAAGAGATGGGTCGTGGGAAGGACTACGAGTGCTACCAAGTTTAGACGGGCACTTCTACGAAGTTTCCTCGTGCTACGAGCACACACCTTATGCACAAGCGAGGAAGCGGTTAGACCGTCTTGCCTTCGCGTGCGAGGGTGGTTGTGTGGTTGGTCGACTGCTTAAGCAGTCGTACCACCAGTTGCCTCTCGCTTAAGCGAGAGTGCAACGAACTTCTCAACAACAAGTCACCGACGTCATGCAGAAGCTTATTCAGCTTCTCGTGCGCGGTGCTTTCGATTTAGCAAATTCAAGACTGAGCTATATTTAATGAATTATAATTAAATATAAAACTTAACTACTGATTGGCTATATATGTATATAGAATGGATACGCGGCTCTTTAGAAGCGTATCCTGACGCATGATCTTTAATCTAGATTTAAGCTTGCAAATGACGTTTTTCTGAGACGTCGCGATACCTAACTTCAACTAGCGTCATCCCTTCCCATGTGAATCCATAAATGGATATCACATTCACGAGGGTGGATCACGTTTGTGTATCGCACCCAAGTGACAGGTCAAAAGTAATCATGGATACTTTTAGACCAAACATTAAGTATATTACTTAATGTTTACGTGTTACTAGATGCCCTGTTACAACAGTTCCATACTCGCCGCAGGCGGAGCGAATAACTCAAACACTGATGGAACGTGCAAGATTGATGCTAGATCATATGCAAGTGGAGAAGAAGTGGTGAGCTGAAGCTATGAATACTGCAGTTTATGTAACTAATCGAGTTACATGCTCTTCTTGGTCGACCAAGACTGCAGTGTATCTGAAACTTAGTAAAGTCGGGCTAAATGCATCGCAACTGAATCGTGTGGAAAGGATTCACTAAACTTAAATCGGCATGGTAAAAACTATGATGCATTAGCCAGGTCTGTATCATCTGTTTCGACGCACGCACTTTAAACTGCGGCTTACGTGAAGAATCGCGTTTTTTGCAAAGATGCTGGACGCACACCTTCGAATTAAATTTTAGGACAAAACGGACATCCATCATATTTGGGCATTTAATTAATTGCGTATTGCCATGTTCTAGCGTCAAAGCGAACGAAACTCAGTATGAAATGTCGCATAGATTTCTTACTCGGCTACCGCAAAGACGTGATCGGATGCCACATTTTTTGCTCTTTAGGTGCACAAGCGAGGCTTCGTGTCCGATGTCAACATTAATGAAGTAATTAAATACGAACGTAAAGTGGACAAATGATTGCACACATTAAACGAGTTCGCCATGCATGGCGAGCTGGATGATGACGCAGGCAACGTTTCCTCTGTGGATGAGGAATCAGATAGTGACTCTAATGATGACAGCAAAAATGTTACGATAAAAGACATAGCATCTAATGAAAACAGAAGAAGTGGTGCGATGGCAGACGTGGAATCTGATGTTAGCGCTATGGCCGACAACGCGACTGCAAATCAGCAATTCTGTAATAGCCTGCCATCACATTTCATATACATCGTGATACTTGGTGACAAGTATTCTGGAGCCAGCTAACTAAATCCAGATCAGCAGCATCGAAAACGTATCCTTCGCAACAGCTCCCTGCCTGACATGAATAATACGTGTGGTGGTCCGCACGAGGGCAAAGTGTCAGGAAGTAGTGACGCTTCCGACGCTCTCGAAACTGAAACCCAAACTGTCAGTGACAGCAATTGGTAGCGATAAGTCTTCAATTTCTTAGCACATGAGCTGAAAGCTGGATTCAGAACTAGTAGTGCAACCCTTGCTCAACTATCAGACCAGGCAAAAAAATGCCTTCTACATTTGGTGCTTACATGCATTCTCCACAAAAAGAAAAACCATTTCTCGTCTATCTTCTTTGCAAGCAAAATTAGATCCAAATCCCTCGACTTGGGTACCTGCGCCTTAGCAAATCCTGAAGCTATCGGATACAGGTGCTGTCCTCCATACTTTGTAGCAACGTAAAGTATTCCTTGCACGCAATGATATGCGCGTTTGTCCCGGTATTAAATTACTAATGACTTGGGTCATATTCTTTAGTGATCCATTTTTACGGACCCACCCAGCACAAAATAGATTGGTTTTTGCTTTTCAGTCACAACTTAAAGCGATTTTGTTTGATTCGATTTATCAGTCATGTTGTCCCTTTGCTTCGGAACACTTTTGCGTGCGTACTTCGCGTGTGCACTTTACTTCCAGAGGTCTTCTTCTCAGCCAGAAGAACGGGACACATTCGCTTTTAGTGCCCTTTCCTATGACAATGGTGACAATTATATTCATATATTCGATATATTACCACTTGAGGTCGGATCTTTGCCACCTTTTGTAAGGACTTATGGCTCACTAGGTATATTTGATACTGAAAATTTACGTAGGTCCTTAGTTCGCTACCCTGTGCTACCTCTAAGCCTACTCATCTAGTTTTTTCTAAAAGCTTCGTAGTAACGTCATCTAATGACGCGAGACTGTGACCGTATCTAATGACGCCAGACTGTGGCGTCATGGCCTAACCACTATTTGCAACCCTAACACACGCTCTGTCACACCGCACGTACCTTTCGACCTGACACCTTTGGTCTATTCAGCTGCTCCTGTTCTTGTGGACTTCTTCTTTCCTTCATCATTTCCGAAGGCATTGTTGTCTATGTCCATACTACGGTATTTCGTCGTAATGGTCATCTCACGGACAACTTTAGATATAAGCTGTGCCATGTTGAAACTAAACAAAACTTTCCGTTATAATTCGTCATAGCACGAATGCGACGGAAGACTTCGCAAAACTAAACCCACCAACTGTAGCTCGTTAATTTTTGCCTGCAGATACTCCAGCTGGTCCTTGATGTTAAACATCGTATACAAATGACCGCGGAACTTGCCGCTCGCTCGTTCTGCCCAAATCATCTTGAAATCGATAAACTTTTTTTGCGCTGTCACTGCGGGGTTCCTCGTTCCTTCAAAGATACCACTAATCCTTCCACATCTTGATGCCCGTCTTTTTCGACATCACCTGCTTAGCCAGCTTCGTGCTTAGTAAACCTTGAATCGAAATCTTAATTTTGGCTTGACGCTTTTTGAACGCAACTCTTTCATCTTGGTTCCACAGGATGTTTTTCTTTCTTACGCCACTTACGAATGTATCCGATAGATCCTTCTCGAACGCGGCATTCTTGTAGAATGTCTAGTCGTCTCCGTTCCAGTCGACTGGCTTACCCGTTGGGCCTATCTTACAGCCTCTCTGGCTTCCTTTGCCGTCCTCGGAGTCCAACGACAATACCATCTTAGAGCTATTGTCGTTGGACTCCGAGGACGGCACACTTTGGGCTTATAACCGTAGGCGTTAATTGTACCCACATATACACAAACTTGTTGATGCTTTCGCAAATGTTGGACTGACAGTCAAATAGGCATCTACCTCCTGATCACAGTTTGTAACGGGGCTTCCTCTGATTATACTGACACAGTGTAGAATATACGCTTACACTGTGTCAGTGTAAGCGTATATTCTACAGTGTGTCAGTGTTAGCAGGTGCTGCGAATTCTCACGAACACTGAGGTTTGCAGAGTAAGCTTGCTGCCATTTTAACGACACGCTTAGCAGTAGGGAAAACAGAACTGTATTTTAAATTGTTACTATCTAATAAAACTAATTCTGTTATAACCTTGTCGATATGAAACTACAGCATGTATCCTGTCTTCGTGCTGTTCATTCATTGCGCGCGTCCATCCTTCTTTGGGCAGTGCATTGGCTGGTATCATGGCCTCTTTCAGCCAGTAAGAAGAGCAATTTCAACCTCAAGGATGCGACGACAATACTATATTAAATAGTAATATTATTAAATATTACTGGCTAAGATATAGTTGTGAATACTATATAAGTTTGGATAATATTAGCAATGGCACTAAATATTAGTGACAATGTCATGTAAAAATACACAGTTGGCCCAGTGTGACACTCCGTAACTATCGTCCTATCCCAATCATCCTGTCCCAATCATTTTGTCTCAATCATCATGTCCCAATCATTCTGTCCAAATCATCCTGTCCAAATTATTCTGTCCTAATTATCCTGTCCCAATCAATATGTCCTAATCATTCTGTCCTAATCGTCCTGTCCCAATCATCCTGTCCCCATCATCCTGTCCCCATCATTCAGTCCCCATCATTCAGTCCCAATCATTCTGTCCCAATCATTCGATTCCAATCAATAGAAAGGGTAATTCATCACGCATGGGTACTACCAACAGTATTTATTACTACAGTTCTCCTGTAGACCTCATGTTTTAAAAACTAGCGATGATAATAATTAGCTTCGCTCCAGATTGTTACCTCGTACAACAAGTGTTCATCTATGCATGATACGACGCATAAGCGAGTAATAGACTTGTTTGTTAACGAATCGCTATCTAATGAGTGCTTCTTCTTGCCACATAATGATTGATTTGCAAAACTTACGCGTCCGTCGTGAGCAACATCAAACCATGGTTCTTTTCGACATCACCGTGGATCTCATCCACCAAGGCACGAACAGCCTTTGCAACCACTTCCGGCTTCTCGTGGTGGATACAGTGACCAGCATCGTGAACCACGAGATGCACGGTCCGCTTACTAATCGTGTTCGCAAGCTCGGTCTGGGCGTCTAGCCACTTGCGTTCCAAGTCTGCCAAAGTTTGTGGAGTAACACCCTTCTGCATCTTCATGCTGTCAAACATACCAGCCTTTCCGTGTGAGAGCACAACGCACGGGAACTCGAACGGCAACGCACCGGACGCAGAGTCCCGGAAACGCTGCTCCGTCTCCGGAATGGCCTGGGCTTCACGTAACACACCTTCACGATGAGCCGGTGACGGCAAAAAGTACTGGACATACGGCAACGCAGCAGCAGAATACTTCGTTTCCAACTGAGAGTATTGCACAACATTAATTAGTCGGATGAGCCCTAAGCGCGCGAGTCGCAGTACCAACTCGCCGTTGCTGTCCATCTCCGACAGCGATTTGTGCACGACTGCTGAGACGCTTTCCAACTTGCCACGCAAGTTTTCTACATCAACAAGTTAATAACAACAAATATTTCGAATAAACTCAAGTCATCAAATAAACTGACCCTGCAAGGTGTCGACCAGCACCAGTCCTCCACACGTAGGGCTGCTGCTTCCCGGTGTCATCTTCAGCTCCTCTGCCAGTTGTCTCATGTTATACCCTCCTGCTCCATGAGCCACTAGGACCACATTTCCCGTCACGTTGAGTTTCTCGATAATCTGTTTATACTCGCTGACAATTTGCGTGGAGGTTCGTGGCTTAGCTCCAGGCTTGGAAAAGCCCAGTCCCGGTCGATCTACACTCACGACAGCTGCAAACTCGGCCACGTCGGCCGCTACTTTATCCCAATCAAAGGACGTCTCCCCCACGCCACCGTCGAGTAGAACCGTCACATTCTTCCGTCACCTCGACGCTGCACGTGGACGTCAATTAGCTCTCCGTTCGATCCAGCAACTTGCACCATGAACCCTGGGGGCGTCATAGGGTTTAAAGTCTTCATTGTTTCAATTATAAAGCCACCCGACGCAATAAGCGCCGCCACAACCGCTAGGCCGCCGAATGTGAGCTTGCCCACTTCTATAAGTTCCGTGACCACCATCTGCTTGGTAGGACGCAAGGCGACGTGAGGCTTTGGCTCTGACTGAGAAGCATTTTTATTGGAGAAGTGGCGGAAATGAACGGAAGATCTTGAGAGGACGCGACGAGGTGCTGTGAGCGACGGACGCGGCCAGTGGAGACGTCCCAGCCGCCCAAACATGTTGCAGATGAATTTGTTTGTTAACTATCCCTCACTACATAAAATTGTAGCTCTGATTGGTCAGAAAAAGAGGAATGAAGCAAATAGGGAGGGGGGGATAGTTAACAATGCATAAGCCTTTCATTTAGAAACGATATGGTATTTCCTGATCAAACAGGAAAATAAGTGAGTAGGTGCATGCATTGAAAGAAGTCTTTTAGGGCACTATCCAACGAAGCTTGTATGGATGTCTCGTTAATTTTGTTATTTGCGTTTGCTATCGAAGACGATGGAAAAGGCGCCTTGATAATCCTTCTCGAATCCGAGGATTAGCAGGATCAACATATTTTAAATCAATACGAATATACCGCAGTAGTATCATCTAGCGTCACAAACATGATTAGAATGCCCAGTGCAATGGCCATTATGCTATTTGTTTTTCACGAGCTTCACTTGAGGTACTGATTTCGCCTTAGGCTTCGTATATAATGTCAGAGTACAAGGCTTTGGATAAGCAAAGCGCTTAAGAATGCATTATGTCGGTTTTTCAATGTGTTGGTTCGTTTATCGACCATTTTCTGTTTTGGTATCCTAAATCCTATGAACAACAAGTTAGGATGTACGTACATACATACAGCGTTAGAATGTACGTACATACATATAGCGATGCGTACATGATTGAGGTTAGGATGTACGTATACGCATCGTTTCTTACTTTCCTTGTTTCTATTGTTTATTTCTAACGTCGATCTGCAGTCAGGACCAATGCTCCAGCGCCGCATCCTGTTGGCGACTTCCACTGCGCTGTGCCGTCGTGCTTCTACCTCGTTCTATCTACAATCAACTGGCAATGCAGTTGCAAGACGCTTCTCCTCTAGCATCTCATTGGATCCTCCTACACGCCCCGTGCAAGTACTGCACAATAAGCCGAAGACGAGTTATGTGCAGATGGAGCAGGACATCGCTGTCATGCAGCGCGAGATCCGCGACGCCTACAAGTGCGTGTTAATGAAATATTATTCACTGTTCAAAAAGCTGTCGATGCAGTGTTTAATCATCCAAAAAGGACATTTCTAACGTTTGTTACAATGCTTTAAACTTTTAGCTCGGGGGACTACAAAAGCGCTCTGGATGGTGGACTGCAGTGCCGAGATCTGGTCAAGGGGCACTTTGGAGAGAATCATCCAGTGTATGCCAGCACGGTGACCAATATTGCTCTTATGTACAAGAATCTGGGCCAGATGGAGGAGGCTATTGAGGCCTATGAGTTTGCGCTGCAAACGTACAAGGCCAGCGTGGGCGAGCAGCACGCGTCTTTTGCTACGACGCTCTACAATTTGGGACTGGTGTATCGTGCACAAGCTATTTCCATCGCTGGTATGGAGCGCGTGAATGCGCTGCACCGTGCGCTCGAGTGCTTTGAGGAATCGCTGAAGATCCGCCAAAGTATCCTCGAGCCAGGACATCCTGACATCGGTCTTAGTATGAGCAACGTGGGTGTCATCCACTGGCAGAATAAGCAGCCGGAGAAAGCTTTTGCAGCACTGACGGAGGCTGTTGAGCTATTAGAGAAGAAATTGGGACCCAAGAGTTTACTTACGGCGTTGGCAAAAAACAACCTCGCTTACGCAAAGAAGGAGGCGTGCGAATACGACGAGGCTATTAATCTATATGAAGACGTGCTGAATGTGCGAAAGCAGGTGCTTGGCGCAGCGCATAATGAGACTATCGTCGCGCGTCACAATCTCGCGGAGGCTTATCGCTCAGGTGGGAATGAGGACAAGGCGGTGGAGATTCAAAATGAGATTCTAGAGTTGTTTGACGCTGAGCTAGGGCCGGAGGAAAAGAAGTGAAGAGGTACGCGTCGAACGAGACCAGCAGTTCTTCTTTTGACATCACCGTTCTTTCATTTATTACGTTAGTTTATTCGCGTGTTTAAACGCCTTACCCGACCTTGTTAGGATTTGCGTGGGGTGCTTTTAGCAATGCGGGTGCGTGTGGGGGCACAAGCAAACAGCGAAGGTCTTCAGACGTGGCTTGAGTAGTGTCACCATGGGTCTCCCAGACGCGGGACGCGATAAGCAAGCTCGAGATAGCACCACCACTTCCTGGGTTGGATGATAGTACCGAAAGAAAACGCGCGGCATACTGTTTAGTCGCTGTGCTCTCCCCCATCTTAGATCGAGGTACGAGCGTGGAAAGTAGGTTCAGAAGCGCTGCTGCAAGTTGCGAGCTCACTGCGGCCTTCGCAAACTCGGTGGCAGCTTGTGTGTGCCGTTTGAGTGGAATCATGTGCAAGCACAAAAGAAGCTGCATTGTCGTCGAGTCACCCAGCCACACGTGCGGTAATAGGTTTGACAGGCTAGCGGGATCCATTCCTTTCACGAGATTATCGATGCAGGCAGGGATAAGGCACAAATTTCCAAGTAACTGCAACGTTATTCGAGCCAGCTGACCCTCAGTGGAAGCCTCGTTGCGAGCCAGGTTCCTATACACGACTTGGAATGCGCTCTTGATAAAAGGAGGAACCACGGTTGCCAAAGGATCCACGCATTTGCCACTAAATGACAACATGTGCATGCATTCCATGCAACGAAGTTGCAGTAGCGGTGCATTCGCAAATGAAAATCCCTGAGGTTGCGCCTCATGGTCTAGTACAAACAAGAGCGTCACCAGGCCGTCTGCCTGGACAACCTGCACATCCATGTCAGGCGTATACTGCAATAGGTTTCTAATGGCCGTGGCCACTGGAAGCAAGCGCAGAAGTAAAATACTCTCAAGTGCTTGTGGTTGGGCGCGCACACCTGATATGTCGTATGATAGCGCTGCCAACAGACCGTGCATCACGTGTCCACTTACGGTACGATTTTCCCGCTCCGCGGCCACTGCAGCGGCAGCTTGAATTTCCTTCTTTGTTGTTAGCTTTGGCTTGAACATATCGGCACGACTTCCATTAGTGTTCACGGTGCCAGCAATCTGGGCGAGAAGGCCATTCTTCGGGTTTTCGTTGTAAAAATTGACGTAGATGCCGGCCACGCACAGCTCTTCCTTTTGTGCCGTGAACATAAAGTAAGACGGTAGTTCAAACACTTTATGCACTTCCCCGTCGCTTTGATCCATCGTGGTATGAAATTGAACTGCACGTTGGGCAAGACTGATCAACTCCTTCCGCATGCGATCGGTCCACATTACGTGGGGCTCGCGAACCTCACTTGCCAATACATCCAGCATTTTAATAGGCCCCGCTCGTCGCAGAATGTCTACTAGCGGACGCGTAAAAATCTGCTCGATTGTAGTCTGCATTCTCGTGACAAACACAGCGATTGACTCCTCTCTCGCGTTAGCTTCCAAGATTCGGCCCAGCGCTTTTGCTGCACCGATGCTAATACGCTGCAACTCTCCGTTACTGTCATCATTGTTCGGCTGGTAATGGAACAACAGGAGTGTTAAATACCACAGAATTCCGTGCTCAGCAAGCTGCAGCAAAAGAACTTCAGCCATTTCCCCCGAGCTTCCAGCCATTTCGTACACAATTTGAAGAGAGAGATCTGTAGCCAAGTGATCACCTTCTTGCGAAAGGAAACGTGTCAAGCAAGGCAACAGATCAATTGACTGTGCAGCAGCCGACACACGTCCATTTGGCTGGTTCAAAACGTTTACAAGAGCCTCTAACACCCAATGTGTCATCACGTCCGGTGCGCATCCGTCAAGAGCACTCAGTGCTTCTTGATTATGGAAAAGCAATTGAAGAGAGTTGCAAAGCACACGAAGACCGAGTCCCGAACTACACTGATGGGCGTTCTCGTCCGAAATACTGACCGCCAAATTGATTACACGGATAGCACTTCCAAATGCCTTCACAAACGCCGTTTTGGTCACAACGGTGTTGGACACGTCATGACACTTTTTCGTCGTGCCAACACGATTGTCTTTTAATTCCGTAATGCATCGCTCCAGGGCCTCTAAGATATATATGAAGTTTTGCAGGATCGTGACAGTTGGCGAGTCAGAAAAACGGCGTAAAAGCAACGCGATAGCATCGAGCAACTCGACAGCATCAAACACTGAGAGTAATTTCGTAGATTGGCCTTCAGTGGCTGTTGCGCCGCTAGGAGTTAGCAACAACTTCGGGTGCACCCAACGGTACATGGAATCGAGAAGAGCATGTAGAAAAGCAGCCTCGTCATTGATAGGCCACCCAGGAAAAGATTTCTCGTCAAGAAGGTTGTGCAGATAGTACTGGTAGCACTGTAGTGCGTGAACTTCCTTCGGGTACTGGATCAGTGCAGTACAAGCCTTATGCTCCGATCCCTCATTCTCCGAAATATAGAACATTCCACTTTCATCAGTATGTAACTCCATAAATTTCTCAATGTAGGACACCATTTGATTACGCATACTGGCATTCCAAACCACTTCGGGGTTGTTAGCGTCGGAGAACAACGCCGTAGCAAACCGTCGCGGGCCATGGCGCAACAGCTGAGCAACCATCGACACTGGCAGCACTCGCACTAGCCAGCTCCTCAAGCAGATACAGGTCAACGGGTCTGGAGAAAAAACACCCTTTTTCCCATTTTTTTGTTTATCATCGATAAGATGCGAAATATCAAGTCCTGATTGCCGCAAATGAATATGAGAGATAAGACGCGCTGCAATCGACATTTCGTCCACATCGTTGGCAAATCGAAGAAGATAGTAAAAAATTCCTGAGGCGTGAAGGTTCGGAATGATTGCCTCGTTGTGTCGAACGAGAAGCCGGATCAAGCCGAGACACTTTTTAAAAACAATGCGATTCGGACAATCCAAAAGTCCGACCAAAAATCGCAGCGTCTGATCTTCGCATAGCCGGTGCTTAATGGAGCTAATTGGGCTCACACCCGAGCCTTCAAAGTGTGTTAGCCGTCCGTATTTGGGGAAACGCACATCCTGGTATATATGTCCTTCTTCTTCCGCTGTGTGACAATCGATGAGGCGACTTAAAACACTTAAGCAGGTCTGCATAATCATCGATCCGCTCATCGCACCGCAATGCTCTGCCACAACTGTCACACGACTAGGTTCTACTTCAATCTGTACACTGTCGCCATCGGAATTTGCATAGGTTGGAGAAACGGAGTGGCCAGAAACAATGGAACTTTCTGCACCAGACTCTTCCAATGCATCAATCGTTCTCCTTGCTATATCCCGCTCGTCATCGTAGTCGTCGCCATCATCATCATCATATTCGCCTCTATCATCAGCGTATTTCTCATTATCCTCGTCTTCAATCTCATCTTCAGATGCATCAAGTTCAGCCTGCAAATCCGCTGCAGGTTCTACAATATACTCTTTTTCAGAATCGTTGGGTCCTTGAAGAACGACCAACGGTTTCACTTCACGAAGCAAATCCAATACCATTGTAACGTTGTTCCCTTCACGTAAAAACCGCGACACATTCAATGCACTAGAGAGAACACGATCCAGAAACAGCATTATGTTGCCACGGACAATTAGTGGCCAACGTCGATCCTCGCCGGTTTTGGCTTTCATCATGCTCACTCGAAGAAAGTGGTTCAGAAATATCAGTGAACCTAATTCATTAAAGTGACGCTCGTATAGCTGAATCATGACCTTTAAAACTAGCAATCGAATGTCAGACTGGTCCATGTTGCCAAATGAATCCGCTGAGAAATATTGTCCTCCCTTTTGAAGCTTGTTAGCAGTAATGACACGGTCTTCGGCTAGTAGGCGGTAATACAGTAGCGTCATAAATTTCTCTGCACCCTCAACATCTCCCACCAAGACACCACGATCGTCCAGAATATTTGCGAGATAATACGGCCCAACCTTTACCTCGCTCTCCAGACACTCATAATCGATACGAAATTCATTGCAATTCCAAGCCACAAACCACCGTGGCATATTTTTGGCGCTTCGCTTTCTCTTCTTGGCCAAATTTGCACTACGAATCCCTTCATGAGAACCAACGTGATCGTCGTGCTTGTGCTCTGTGCTATCACCAGGTCGTATTATATTGTTGGATTGAGAAACAGACCCATTTTCGTCAGTGTAATTATCATCGCTGTCATAGTTGTCCTCATCAATCCCGCCTTCACTCTCAACGTCATCAAACGTGTCAGGATTCAGAAGGAATGATAAAGGCATGTACCTAGCAAAACGATTCGAGGATGAAATTGTTCCCTTCATCATTTCAATCGCGAGGCGGCTTTCGGGACCATTTTGCAAGAACTCGAAAAGAAACGGAGCAAAATTTGCTTGCTGCGGATCGCGGCGATGCCATTCAGTTTCCATGTGATCAGTGGCAAGTGGATCCGTGTACAGATACCCTAAGTACTTCAGTCGGTACAAGTCCAGTGCGCTCATTTCGGCCTGTAGCTTACGAATCAGTTCTTCAACAGCGTTAGGGCCCCACACAAGATCTTTTGTCGCATAGGTTTTACCAAGGCGGTCAAAAAATTCGGGCAAGAGCACAGCGTGCTTCACATTTCGCGCCAAGCGAGCACGTGTGTTAATCCCGCAGCTCATTTTGCTGTGGCCACTTTCTGTAGCATTGGTGATATCACGGCGGCTACCATTCTTATGCAAAGCATCGTTGTTTTTTACGTACAGCTCAGGATTTGCAGTCGGAAGGCGTCGGCCAAACTCGTCGTATTCCAATTGGGTGGTTTTCTGGTCATCCAGCAACGCATGTGGAAAAATATTCCGAATGACGTACGACGAGCGCGGATTTTCGTGCGTAAGCAAAGCTACCAATTGGGACGAGATCCGACGCTGAGCCTTGTCTTGAGTATACAAGGCCAAGTAAAGCTGCCAAACAAGCGCGCCGTGTTTTCTTGCAAAATCTTGAATCAGCTCAACAAGCTCAGTAGGTTGCTCCAAAATATGGACTTTTACCAAAATAGACGAGCACTTTGTAATTGATAAACTCAATGATCGGTTGAATAAGAACAAAGAATGGTGACGAGAAAAATCGTCAAACCGCATAGCTCGAAGTAAGTCTCTGGTCACTCTTTCAGGGGTTGCCTTCTTTCCGCTCGACAGGCAAACTTCAAGTGTCTGCAGGATCATAGCAAGAACAAGGTAGTCTAATCCAAGCTGGGAATACGCTAAAGCATTTGCCATGCTGCGTTCAGTATTGGACATTGCCGCAACTGATGGCAAGCCATGTTTCGACCCAGTCTTTATGGCGGTAGAATGTAATGGCATGCTGCCCACCCGATTCGTCCTTGACAGGTCAAATGCGCGAGACACGTACATCCGGCTATGATTCTTCGTGAAAATTGCTCGACGGTTGGCCGTCTCAGACTTCAAGCTGCGAGTATCAGAGTAGTTGACCACCATGTACTTAATTACACATGCTGCTGCAAAGCTAACTTCCTCCATCGGAGAATGAAGCAACTCCATAATCACTTCGACACTGTGCTTGTACTGCGAACTAGGGACTTCCTCAAAGACTCCACGGGTGCATAGCAAACGCTGAATTGCCAATAGCAGCTCCACTTGAAACTCTGTTGTCGGGATTGGAGCATCCGTGTTGGACAGGCTGTTGAGTTGGGCCACCGAATACAGTTTAAAGTTTTCAAGTAACTTCATCAGGCTCGCAAAAGCACGTCGATCGCGCTGACGCAGACCTCCCAACGGAATATTGCGATTAAACTGAACCAGGTGATGGTAAATGAGCGACATACTCGCGTTCGTCACAAGATTCGGAATGAAGTTCAAATTGACCAGCTTGCGCAACAAAATGTCTTCATATTCAGGGTGGACCTCAGTACTCCACGTTCCTTCCTTACATGCAATTTTCGTCTCCTCCGTTGACCAAGGAACATGCAGCTTGTTCATGCGGCACATTTCGATCATGTTGCTTAGAAATAGACTTCGTGCTTCCTTTGGACTGAGCAATGTCGTAGATCCAGCAACCTTCAGCCATTCAGGTACATTCATGTCTCCCGCAATGTCTCCAATGAGTTGGCGAAGTTCATTCTCATGTTGTGAAGATACACGCATTAGTCCCAGACTAACATCTTTATCACGTCTGCTTGCCGTAGAGCTCAGACAGATAAAACGACGCGTCAGTCCGTGCTTCAACTCGAGCGCAAACTTGCCACACAAACCCTCTGACGAATCACTATCCGAGTCATCTTGAAAAGACGACACCGATGGGTACATCACCACGTTAAAGAGATCGTTCAATGCGTGGCTCGCCATTGTCTTCCGTGTCACTGAGTCTCGCTCGATGATTGCTAACGCGGTCAGACCGAGCAACCGTAGCTGCAACTTGCCAGACTTGCTAATCTTTAATACAGGGATCTCAAAGGTTACGGGTTGCGGGATGTCCCGCGTCGATGTAAGTGCGTCAAACTCGCACGAGTCAGACACTTCTTCCACAACAAGCGATACGCTTAGCCAGGAGCGCAGATTATTGGCAATGGCTTGGATGAACGGCTCGCGACTGTCGCACCAGTAACGGTGCACTCGGTTGTTCTCAAAGTAGAGCACGAGTTCATTCGAATTGGTGTTCACTCGCTGGATCTTGACGATATCAATCAGTAAAATCGACGATAGTGTCGCGCGTGTCTGCGGATCGAGTCGATCCAAGCTAGCGGCTCGCACGGCCAGCAATACATCCACTTTGACCGGATGAATTGCGATACTGCGTGTCGTGCTAAGCTTTGTCATTGTAAATGTTTTTCCACACAACTGAAACAAACTGTCAAAGTACATACCACTGCCCAGGAGATTCGCGTTACTTGCTCCTGCTCCTGCAAGACCTCCCGAGCTCGAAGTCCAATTATTGTCATTTGTAGCCACACTAGCCCCCACAGCACTAAGAGCATCTGCAGTAGCGGCATCAATCTCATCTTTTTTACAGAATGAAGCACGTTCTCGCAACTGATAGTACGTCGACAATAATTGCTGTCGACATCGACATGTATATGTCTCTTTCAGATTCTTTCCAATAAAGACCGAAAAAGCTCGGTCCGTATTATGTCCACCACTATCCGATGCAATTGTAATTTCCTTGATATTATCAAATGCGTAACGTTCTTTGATCTCATCAGAATAAGGATCAACAATTGTCAAATGATTGCTACTAAACACCATTAGACGTTTAGCAGATCGAAGAAAACCGACGCGTGTTACAAAAAAACGTGCAGCGTAAATAACACCAGCGTAACGATTGTCGGGTATTTCAAGACGATCCACATCCTCATCTTCCTCGTCTTCATCGTCTACAGAGACTCCGTAGAAGGCGCTAGCACGTGGCTCCACTTCAAAGCCTCTTGTCTCCGGACCACGTGGTACAAAACCCTCGTCTAGTGACACCAAATCATGACCAAGCACCAGTGAATCTTCCAGCGTCTGCTTAAGTTGCTGAAGCTCTGCGTCGCTACTACTGTCATTGAGCGCCATGGCGCTGCTAGTGGGAAATGCGGAAAATCAGATCTACACGTTTTATGGGAGTCCGAGAATCAGATCATATTGGAACCGGTATGTGTACCGGTATCGATAGTAGCCGATTGGCTGATTATTTAACATTATAGCCCATTAAAAATCGGAGTGTGCCAGCCATTCGTTTTGATATGACTGACGATGAGTAAGGAACAAGATCATTTTCTATTTCGTCTCTTCTATTCGACGTTAATGTAGGACGCATGCCGCGGTTACTACATTGCTGTCTCCTTAGATTGCAGAAGCCAGTGACGATCTTGCACTAAACGGACCAATTCATGTCGATTGCAACTTTTTCGGGTACCAGCTGAGGCTTTACTGTAAACATTTTGTTGTGCATGTTTAGAGTCGAATATCTGTAGTAGTAAAATAATGTGTTTGTAGCTGGTTCGTTGCTCTCTGGTGATGTCATTTTAAACAAGCGTATGTCTGATTCATATGAGGACAATTCTGTTTTACTGAAGAAAACACGACCAAACCACGTACGTGTCTTGTGAGAAAGCTAGTATTCTATATCATAGTGTAATTGTTAGTAGATATTAGGTAGTTACCGTTAAATAAGGCATCGAATGATGATCGTTTATCTGGTTATTCGGACCTCGCTCTCGCGTGACCTGACGAAACAGAAACATATAAGACTACGATGATCTGACGAACCCTTTGATAGCAAATAATTACACTAAGTACGAAAGAGATACAAAATAAAGAGACTAGAATCTCGTTCCGTACTTAGTGTAGATCATACACGGAAGGAGTAGTTGCTAGCTAAGTTCGCAAAACGCACTTTGACACGCACGACATGACTGTTGTGACTGTCGGCGTAGCCGATTCGGAGCTGATGTCTGTGGTGTTATACACGCCATTGCCATGGCTTATGCGACTAGATCTTCTCCCTTTCTTATTCCTCTACGTTACGGCAGTGTATCTGTACATGTTGCGGCCAGAGGATGACGTGGTTCCGTGGATTTTCGGTGCTTTTAGTGTCTTCTGGCACGCGCTGGCGCTACTGAGCACTGAATGGAGCGTAGATGTGCGTTGCTGGATGTCTTGCTCACGTTTAGCGGCAGTAGTTGCGGACGAGCGTCTTCGGATACTGGCCAAGGTGGAGCCAGCGCTTGCAATGTTGCCCAAGCAGCTCTGCGTCTGCCACGTGACGCTTAAGGAGAAGAAAGAGACGTCCAAGGATCAACTTGTGCCTACGCTTTGGTTCTCGTACCAAAATGTAAAGTTTTGTCTATACGAGGACGTGGATACCATCAATTGCAGCAATGACAGTCAATTTCGTCGACTTGAATTCCCATCCTCCAGGACGTTAGAGTCTTATCTGCAGAGTAAAGGCATCATGTCAACGAAGGAGCTACAAGAGGCTCGTGGGAAGTGGGGCAAGAATGATTTTGAATTGCCCATGCCCAAGTTTGCTGAATTGCTCAAAGAACAACTAGTGGCTCCATTTTTTGTCTTTCAGTTCTTCTGCATGCTGCTATGGTGTCTCGATGAATACATGTACTACTCCCTGCTAACGCTGCTAATGCTCGTGATTTTTGAGTGCACGGTCGTTAAGCAGCGTCAGCAAAACATGGACACACTGCTGCATATGCGGCGCCCACCACAGCCGTGCCTGGTCTTTCGGTCTGGTCGTTGGGGTCAGGTCTTGAGTGACGACCTCGTTCCAGGTGATATCTGCTCCGTTGGCCACAATGGCCATGAACGTGATGCTGTTGTGCCTTGTGACATATTGCTGCTCCGCGGAAACTGCGTAGTCAACGAATCGATGCTCTCCGGTGAGTCTGTCCCATTGCGCAAGGAAGCTGTTGGTGCATCGATTGTGAAGGAAGAGGACAAGCTTAATAATCTTGAGATTGACAACGACTCTAGTATGATGCACAAGAGGCACGTGCTGTATGGCGGCACTAGGATTCTTCACCACACAACTCCACTCTTGAAGGATATACTGCGTGTTTCTGCGACACCTGACGGAGGTGGTGTTGGATTTGTGCTCAAAACAGGCTTTGGCACGACTCAAGGAAGTCTGATGCGCACTATTTTGTACTCGTCGCAGCGCGTCACGGCAAACAACTCTGAGGCAATGTGGTTCATCGCTCTTTTGCTCAACTTTGCGGTGGCAGCAGCAGCCTTTGTGCTCGCACAGGGGTTCAATGATCCAACGCGCAACCAATTTAAGCTTTTTCTTCACTGTATAATGATCATCACGTCAGTCGTGCCACCAGAGCTCCCCATGGAGCTATCATTAGCAGTGACGAACTCGCTGATTGCACTGACAAAAAGTAACATTTTTTGTACCGAGCCATTTCGAATTCCTGCTGCTGGTCGGATTGACATCTGCTGCTTCGACAAGACTGGTACATTAACTAGCGACGAGCTTAAGTTGCGTGGTGTCGCGGGGTTGGAAACGCATGCTGAATCCAAGGATATAAGGAAGCATCGCGGTGAACTGGATATTATTGCATCTGAACTGCTACCTCTTGATACCGAATTGATACTAGCAGGATGCCAATCATTGGTCCTGCTGAACGGACAGATCGCTGGGGATGCGCTTGAGATGACCGCTGTTCGAAGCATTAACTGGTACTTGACAAGCCGTGAAGGTGAGGAAAAGAGCCTATCAAGCCTTCAGCCATCGTTATACTCTGCCCGTCGAGGTGAAATTCAAGAAGTTACGATTTTGCGCAGCTTTGCTTTTTCCTCGGAGCTTAAGCGCATGACCACAGTTGTATGTGTGCGAAAAGCCGATAATAACGAGCAAGATGAGCAGCGTGTTCTAACAAAAGGCGCGCCCGAGGTACTCGAGTCCATGTTTACATACAAACCTTTATACTACCGGCGGGTGTATCGCCATTATGCCTCCAAAGGATGTCGCGTCTTGGCTTTAGGCTTCCGCGTATTGCCTGTGGAGTACTCTTCGGACGAGTTGCGACAGAAACCGCGTTGCGAGTTGGAAAGTGCGTTGACATTTGCGGGGTTTATGATTCTAGACTGTCCGCTGAAGGAGGACACAAAGCGAACTATTCGGGAGCTAATGGTATCGAAACACCGAGTAATCATGGTAACGGGCGATAGTCCTCTGACGGCATGCGATGTAGCCAGACAAGTGGGGATTAACGCGGGGTATTCGAAACAGCCACTGATTTTAATGCCTAATGCAGAGGCAGAATCTGTTGAGTGGAAGCCTATTGACGACGGGTCGCCTGGTATTGAAGAGGAAACTATGCCTTTCAACGTTGAGGAAGTTGAGAAGTTGCAAGTACAAAATGATCTGTGCGTGACGGGCGACGCCATGGCTATGCTTTACAAGCAACAAGAGAATAGGTGTAATGACAATGCAACTGCGCTCGAGGGATTTCTTACCGTCCTTGAGAAAATGTGCCTTTGCACCACGGTGTTTGCTCGAACATCACCCCAGCAAAAGGAGCATCTTATCGTGGCAATGAATCGATGCGGCAAGACAACTGCCATGTGCGGCGATGGTACCAACGATGTGGGTGCCTTGAAACAAGCCCATATCGGTATTTCAATTGTAAATTCGTCCACTTCTGAGAGTCATCCTCATGTGGTTGACACAGGAAGAGGAAGTGGTATTGGTGCGAACCAGGATGGCCTTCGTCACCGGCGACAGCTTGGGCGGGGAGGGCACTCTGTAAATGAGTTGCAGCAGCCTTTATATGGCAGTGATGAGGCACAGATTGTTCGATTGGGAGACGCTTCGATTGCGTCACCCTTCACGTCGAAGAGCTCGAGTATTCGTGTGATTATGAAGCTGATCCGCCAAGGGCGATGTACGCTCGTGACCACCATCCAGATGTACAAGATTCTAGGTATCAACTGTCTTATCACGGCATACTATTTGAGCTCTCTCTTTGTCCACGGTGTAAAGAATGGCGACCAGCAGCTCACAATTTCGGGGGTAAGTCGTTTCTTATATTGTGGTGAGAGCTGGGAAACGGTGCTAATTATGTGTGGCAACTCATGTGCAGCTGTCCATCGCAATGTTCTTTCTGTTTATGTCACGAGCGAAACCCGCGCGAAAGCTCTCACACCAGCGACCACCGTCGGGAGTGTTCCGCATGTCCGTAATGATGTCGATCTTTGGTCAGTTTGTGATTCACTTGGCTTTTCTAGCGGCTGCGCTCCACCTGGCCCAACCATTCATCATGCTTGGTGACCCAGCGATGCATCCAGATGGAAAATTTACTCCGAATGTGGTCAATAGTATCATGTTTCTCATGTCTTCGATTATGCAAGTTAACACTTTCGTGGTTAATTACCACGGGCAGCCATTCATGGAAGGATTCTGGGAAAATAAGCTGTTTTATCGCACTGCGCTCTTCAACTACGCCGTGTTGGCAATTGTTACTGCAGAGGTATTTACACCTATAAACTCGATGCTGGAGTTGGTGGCAATGCCGAACAAACAGGTAAGGAATTCTGTCTTTGTAGCTGTGCAAAAAGACGTTTACAAGCTGATCGATTTTATGGTTTTCAGACTCAGATTGCTGTCGCAGCTCTTATGGTAGGCGACACGATCGTGACGCTGGCTTTTGAACATGCTGTCCAGATGATTGCTTACGTATCAGGATGACTTTTCTCTAGCAAACTTAGCTAATACACGAAATTGTGTTGACCAGGCCATTTTTTCTATTTAGTCGACTAAAAAATGTAGACAACCCTTTGGGATTGAATTCAAACCTTACTGCATCAAGGTGTACGTGACAGAGATGGCGATTATCGAAAGTCAGGCCCTTGAAGCTGCGTGGTAAGGCAAACCGATCGTACAGTAGAGCCTGTCTAATGTAATATTGTCGGGATTATAAGATTTTATGAGCTAACGGAGGTTATCAGCTGAGCCAGTTCCATACACCGACCACACCAACACGCCAACCCCTACTGACACACAGAAGCACAACAACAATCACATCTAAAACATACCCCACGCGGTGTTTAGCACACGACCATGAGGGACAAGGGACACATTTCTTGTGTCTGTGCATAATGTTTAGAAAGTAAAAATAAGTTAGCATGAATAACGTGCCAGACGCGTTTCGGCCCCCGCCGGGGCCTCGTCAGTGACTTTGCCAATTTACAAGTATAAATTACCCGATCATCTTCCTATTTAAAATCTATCACATTTCTAGAAGCATCTAGAAGCATCTACAACATTCCATATATTCCAGCGTAAATTGAAGCTCTGAAGTCGAACCAAGTGCAACTTGCACTTTCAAACATCTCAAGCCTTTCGTTTTCGCTAAGTTACACTTATTTAGCTGTATCATAGTGTAGAGAATCCGGTGTAGAAAGTTGCAGTGCGTATCGCTCTTTTAAATATCTCTTTCAGCTTTTGTATGTATGGTCAATTCTGTCTGATACTTGTTTCTTCAGTCAGCGTTTGTCACTCGTCGTCTCTTTCCACTTGCACTACTTTTTACCGAAGCTGTAGGGAGCTTCAGAACTGATACCAACTAAAGAAAGTTGGAAGCATCTGCTGAAGACGCATACAGCCAGCACATACAAACAGATAGACGGCTTTTTTCGCGCGCTACGCAAGTTATCGCTAGCTCACAAAGCGATGTCACAGGAGAAGCCTATTTCAGGCTTCCGTGATCGACTTGCAGCTCTACGTAGATTTTAGCTGGTGATGGACAAGTAGCATTTATTACCTACCTGCAAAGATGCCTTGTATTCTCAACTGACCGGCGTGGCGTTTGAGCCTTCTTAGACATGGATAGCTATGTTTACGGATGCTTGTTGTCGTTTGGTTGTGTGTGCGAGTAGTCAGCGTTTGTTTGATTGTGGTTTGATAATGTAGTTCATGTGCACCGTTGGTCTAATGGTTAGGATTCATCCCTTCCAAGGATGAGGTCGGGGTTCGATTCCCCGACGGCGCAAGTTTTGCCAGCTGTCACTACGCTTAGCCTCGCTTGTTGATCGTATTCCCACCTTACTTCATCCAGGTGTTCGTCACTGAGATGAAAGTTATATAGAGACAGGCCCTTGTTTTGTGTCGTGTAGCTGTGTAGTAAGGCATACCGAGTGCAAGCATTGGCTCTTTCTGTCAGGTGGTGTGTGCAGCTTATGGACTCGGACAGCTTGAAGGGGTTTGTGGGCTGCACCACCTTCTCCGCCATGTTTGAGGTGCTGTGTGTGCAGGTACGTGCAAGTTGCTAAGGTTGTGTAGGCTGTGATTTTGCAGATGTTTGTATAGTTCAAGAAGACTTTCTGGAACAGGTCGTGTGACGGCGCGCCGTTGGTCTAATGTGTTAGGATTCATCCCTCCCACGGATGAGGTCGGGGTTCGATTCCTCGACGGCGCACGTCTTCCTTGCGAGACAAGCACGAGGACGTGGCTTATCGTGTCTGATACTTGTTTCTTCAGTCAGCGTTTGTCACTCGTCGTCTCTTTCCATTTGCACTACTTTTTACCGAAGCTGTAGGGAGCTTCAGAACTGATACCAACTAAAGAAAGTTGGAAGCATCTGCTGAAGACGCATACAGCCAGCACATACAAACAGATAGACGGCTTTTTTCGCGCGCTACGCAAGTTATCGCTAGCTCACAAAGCGATGTCACAGGAGAAGCCTATTTCAGGCTTCCGTGATCGACTTGCAGCTCTACGTAGATTTTAGCTGGTGATGGACAAGTAGCATTTATTACCTACCTGCAAAGATGCCTTGTATTCTCAACTGAGCCGGCGTGGCGTCTGAGCCTTCTTAGACATGGATAGCTATGTTTATGGATGCTTGTTGTCGTTTGGTTGTGTGTGCGAGTAGTCAGCGTTTGTTTGATTGTGGTTTGATAATGTAGTTCATGTGCACCGTTGGTCTAATGGTTAGGATTCATCCCTTCCAAGGATGAGGTCGGGGTTCGATTCCCCGACGGCGCAAGTTTTGCCAGCTGTCACTACGCTTAGCCTCGCTTGTTGATCGTATTCCCACCTTACTTCATCCAGGTGTTCGTCACTGAGATGAAAGTTATATGGAGACAGGCCCTTGTTTTGTGTCGTGTAGCTGTGTAGTAAGGCATACCGAGTGCAAGCATTGGCTCTTTCTGTCAGGTGGTGTGTGCAGCTTATGGACTCGGACAGCTTGAAGGGGTTTGTGGGCTGCACCACGTTCTCCGCCATGTTTGAGGTGCTGTGTGTGCAGGTACGTGCAAGTTGCTAAGGTTGTGTAGGCTGTGATTTTGCAGATGTTTGTATAGTTCAAGAAGACTTTCTGGAACAGGTCGTGTGACGGCGCGCCGTTGGTCTAATGTGTTAGGATTCATCCCTCCCACGGATGAGGTCGGGGTTCGATTCCTCGACGGCGCACGTCTTCCTTGCGAGACAAGCACGAGGACGTGGCCTATCGTGTCTGATACTTGTTTCTTCAGTCAGCGTTTGTCACTCGTCGTCTCTTTCCATTTGCACTACTTTTTACCGAAGCTGTAGGGAGCTTCAGAACTGATACCAACTAAAGAAAGTTGGAAGCATCTGCTGAAGACGCATACAGCCAGCACATACAAACAGATAGACGGCTTTTTTCGCGCGCTACGCAAGTTATCGCTAGCTCACAAAGCGATGTCACAGGAGAAGCCCATTTCAGGCTTCCGTGATCGACTTGCAGCTCTACGTAGAGTTTAGCTGGTGATGGACAAGTAGCATTGTATTACCTACCTGCAAAGATGCCTTGTATTCTCAACTGAGCCGGCGTGGCGTCTGAGCCTTCTTAGACATGGATAGCTATGTTTATGGATGTTTGTTGTCGTTTGGTTGTGTGTGCGAGTAGTCAGCGTTTGTTTGATTGTGGTTTGATAATGTAGTTCATGTGCACCGTTGGTCTAATGGTTAGGATTCATCCCTTCCAAGGATGAGGTCGGGGTTCGATTCCCCGACGGCGCAAGTTTTGCCAGCTGTCACTACGCTTAGCCTCGCTTGTTGATCGTATTCCCACCTTACTTCATCCAGGTGTTCGTCACTGAGATGAAAGTTATATGGAGACAGGCCCTTGTTTTGTGTCGTGTAGCTGTGTAGTAAGGCATACCGAGTGCAAGCATTGGCTCTTTCTGTCAGGTGGTGTGTGCAGCTTATGGACTCGGACAGCTTGAAGGGGTTTGTGGGCTGCACCACCTTCTCCGCCATGTTTGAGGTGCTGTGTGTGCAGGTACGTGCAAGTTGCTAAGGTTGTGTAGGCTGTGATTTTGCAGATGTTTGTATAGTTCAAGAAGACTTTCTGGAACAGGTCGTGTGACGGCGCGCCGTTGGTCTAATGTGTTAGGATTCATCCCTCCCACGGATGAGGTCGGGGTTCGATTCCTCGACGGCGCACGTCTTCCTTGCGAGACAAGCACGAGGACGTGGCCTATCGTGTCTGATACTTGTTTCTTCAGTCAGCGTTTGTCACTCGTCGTCTCTTTCCATTTGCACTACTTTTTACCGAAGCTGTAGGGAGCTTCAGAACTGATACCAACTAAAGAAAGTTGGAAGCATCTGCTGAAGACGCATACAGCCAGCACATACAAACAGATAGACGGCTTTTTTCGCGCGCTACGCAAGTTATCGCTAGCTCACAAAGCGATGTCACAGGAGAAGCCCATTTCAGGCTTCCGTGATCGACTTGCAGCTCTACGTAGAGTTTAGCTGGTGATGGACAAGTAGCATTTATTACCTACCTGCAAAGCTGCCTTGTATTCTCAACTGAGCCGGCGTGGCGTCTGAGCCTTCTTAGACATGGATAGCTATGTTTATGGATGTTTGTTGTCGTTTGGTTGTGTGTGCGAGTAGTCAGCGTTTGTTTGATTGTGGTTTGATAATGTAGTTCATGTGCACCGTTGGTCTAATGGTTAGGATTCATCCCTTCCAAGGATGAGGTCGGGGTTCGATTCCCCGACGGCGCAAGTTTTGCCAGCTGTCACTACGCTTAGCCTCGCTTGTTGATCGTATTCCCACCTTACTTCATCCAGGTGTTCGTCACTGAGATGAAAGTTATATGGAGACAGGCCCTTGTTTTGTGTCGTGTAGCTGTGTAGTAAGGCATACCGAGTGCAAGCATTGGCTCTTTCTGTCAGGTGGTGTGTGCAGCTTATGGACTCGGACAGCTTGAAGGGGTTTGTGGGCTGCACCACCTTCTCCGCCATGTTTGAGGTGCTGTGTGTGCAGGTACGTGCAAGTTGCTAAGGTTGTGTAGGCTGTGATTTTGCAGATGTTTGTATAGTTCAAGAAGACTTTCTGGAACTAGTCGTGTGTCGGCGCGCCGTTGGTCTAATGTGTTAGGATTCATCCCTCCCACGGATGAGGTCGGGGTTCGATTCCCCGACGGCGCACGTCTTCCTTGCGAGACAAGCACGAGGACGTGGCCAATCGTGTCTGATACTTGTTTCTTCAGTCAGCGTTTGTCACTCGTCGTCTCTTTCCATTTGCACTACTTTTTACCGAAGCTGTAGGGAGCTTCAGAACTGATACCAACTAAAGAAAGTTGGAAGCTATCTGCTGAAGACGCATACAGCCAGCACATACAAACAGATAGACGGCTTTTTTCGCGCGCTACGCAAGTTATCGCTAGCTCACAAAGCGATGTCACAGGAGAAGCCTATTTCAGGCTTCCGTGA